GGGGGGATTGTGGAGTTTTGACCTGCCTTTTGGAATCTCAACAGCTATGGTGGAATCTCTGTTATTTACGCTTATTTGTCATATTCTTTAAGGTTATTATTATCATTTTCATTATCTTTATTGTTGTTGTCAAAGTTGCACTTAGTAATAGTGATATCAGTAGTGGTAATTGCAACAATATTAGAGAGAGAGAGAGAGAGAGAGAGAGAGAGAGAGAGAGAGAGAGAGAGAGAGATAGAGATAGAGATAGATAGATAGATAGATAGATAGATAGAGAGAGAGAGAGAAAGAGAGAGAGAGAGAAAGATAGATAGATAGATAGATAGATAGATAGATAGATAGAGAGAGAGAGAGAGACTGAGAGAGAGAGAGAGAGAGAGAGAGAGAGAGAGAGAGAGAGAGAGAGAGAGAGAGAGAGAGAGAGAGAAAGAGAAAGAGACCGAGATAGAGATTGAAACAAAGACAGACAGAGAATAAGAAAAAACAAAGAAACAAAAGAAAAAGGAAGAGAAACAGATAAAGAACCCCCCCCCCCAAAAAAAAAAGACGCAAGGGAACTACCTTTACCAACATCTTTATCCCCCCCCTTCCCCCCTCCCCTCCTTACTCCGTTACCCCTCCCCCTCCCCCCTCCCCCCCTCCCCACCTGCTATGCAACCCTTTACCTTCCCTTTAACCCCCCCTGCCCCCCCCCCCCCCCTCCCTCCCTTCCCCCCCTCCCCACCTGCCATGCAACCCTTTACCTTCCCCTTTCCCCCCCTTCCCCCCCACCCCCCACAACGCACCCTAGCCACTCAAGGTCCGGCGTCAGGGTCAGGCCGTCGCTACGGACCGGTTTGTTGCCGAGCTCTGCCACGCGGGACCGATAGGGACTCATGTGCTTGCTTGCTTGCTTGCTTGGTTTGGTTGGTTTGGTTGGTTCGTTTGGTTGGTTGGTTGGTTGTTGTTTTCCCTTTCTTGGTTGCATGACAGAATTCAGGGTTTGTTCAGGGTATATTAGATTTGTTCAGGGTATATAAGATCTATTCAGGGTATGTTCAAGGGTGTGTTCAGGCTGCGTTCAAATATTTGTTCAGAGTGTGTTCAAAGGTTCGGTCAGGGTATTACAAGGTCTGTTCAGTGTTTGTTCAATGATTTGTTCAAGGTGTAGAAAGTATATTCAGGTTATTTTTACCGTTTTTTACACCCGAGTTCAGGCTGGCGTTCAAAGGTCTGTTCAGAGTATATTAAAAAGAACTGTTTAGTTATTCAAAAGCGTGTTCAAGTGAACGTCAAAGGAATTGTTCATTCAACAAGAACTAGAAACTGATGTTACTACACTATGTAATTGGCATTTTGATAATAAATCTTCATCAGAATTATGCAATGCTAATGAATATTCAGTTTCGGAACCAGTCAGTTAAAAGGAAAAGTTTATTCTCATTCGTATTATAGTTATAGCATTATTATATATATTTTGTAATATACATGTTGTCGTGTTTATGTGTTTATTTATTTATTATTTTGTATTCTTGGTGTTCACAATCACTCTCTATATATTACTTATGTTGCTCTTTTCTTCTTGTTGCTAATGTATAAAGACGTTTTTTTGTTTTTTTAACAGGGACGAATTTCAGTTGCAAATTGCAAATTATTGTCACGTCCGACGTACGAATTCTATTTATAACCGCTTTCACTACCACTGTCTCCATCGTCGTATATAATGAGTTAATACTATTTATTACATTTTCATCATGAAGGCATATGACACAACTCATTACGCACTGTCTCATCACGATTCATTCAGTGTCATCATGACTGGGTGTCATCACAAAGTCACCATAGATTCGTCGTAATCACCATGCATTTTCAACAAACACATTAAAAGTCGACACAAAGTCATTAGTCATCACACGTTTTTTTTTTTGTTTTTTTTTTTTTTACAATACACTACAATTCATGAGTCATGAGTCACCACAACTCACCACAAGCACGTCGAAATCTCTCACAAGTCATCACTATTTACCTAAAATTCGGCACCACACATCACACATTTTCACAAAATCACCACAAAACGCACCACTACTCACCTCACTTCTCACCACTCACCACAAACTCATCACCACTCACCACAAACTCATCATCCCTCACCACCACTCACCACAAACTCACAATCACTCACCACCACTCACCCCAAACTCACAATCACTCACCACCACTCACCATAAACTCACCCCAAACTCACCCCAAACTCACCACACACTCACCACAAACTCACCACACACTCACCACACACTCACCACAAACTCACCCCAAACTCACCACACACTCACCACAAACTCATCACAAACTCACCACAAACTCACTCCAAACTTACCACAAACTCACCACACACTCACCACAAACTCACCCCAATCTCACCACAAACTCACCACAAACTCACCCCAAACTCACCACAAACTCACCCCAAACTCACCACAAACTCACCCCAAACTCACCACCACTCTCTTTCCTTCCTCAG